TTCTATTTATGCCTTGATAATCAAAGGTATATTTATTATTCCCATTGTATTCTTGATAGGAATGCTATATTTTTTAGTGGATATTCTGTAATAAATTATATCTTTTCTCTTAAAAGGATTACTTATAAAGGAATTTGGTTTTGAATCCTTTTTCTAAAGCAAGGTCCATTTTCTTTTGTCTAATTCTTTTATATTTGCTTTTATCGAATACATTTATTTGACTGTATTCTCCATGTCCTCCATACTCTTTAGAATAAGCTTCTCCTTCTTCAATATTCTGATTCATCACTACTAGAGGTATATAAACTTTCCATTTCATATATACTTTCTTCGCTACTTATAGAACTAACATCTATTTCACTTAGTTATTCTTCATAGATTTTTAGTTTTTAGCACTTTCTCTTTTGTATCTTTTAGGACATTCATTTGCATAATGCCCTTCTTCTTTACACAACCAACATGTGCATTTTTTAGGATTCTTTTTATATTTTTTAAATGTTTTGGTTTTCTTAAAATATCTCTTTTTCTTTCCAGAAAAATTGTTCTTGTTAAACCTTTGTTTATCACTTCTTTTAATTCTAAATTTCTTATTTCTCTTGTTGTAATTGGTGTAACTACATCCTAGCTTGATTGGATCACTATTCTTAGGACAACATAGTCCCTTTTTCATACTTTTTCTTAGTTTGCTCTGGTTATAGGTTTCTAGGCACCATTCATTAATTTTGGTTTTAGTGAACCAAATCCTTAACCATAAAGTATCTTTCCTATTTTCTACATATATTCTATAGGCTTTTGCCAATTTTATTCCCCAAGGATTAGGAATTTTTCCAAAAAACAATTCCATGAGGCCTTTAGTCATTCCATGATTTGAAGCTTTATAATAGTATTTCTAAAATAGACAAATGTATTGATCTAATTCACATAGATTACATAATTCTAAATTTTGCAAATTCCACACTACTATTCTTCCAATCCTAGCCTCCTTTTTTCTTTGATTTTCTTCCCAATTTTCTCCTAAGAATTCTCTCATAATAGCTGATTCAAACTTATTTATTATGTCTTGAATTGCTTCATTTTCATTAATTTCTTTTGAAGCAAGATTTTCACTTATAATAACATTACCGTCTTCTTCATTTAGACCAACAAACCAGTCGTGCACTATCCCTTTAAAAGTGACTTCAATAAATCTAACTGTTTGTAAGGCATTCCAATTTTTGTTTGCTACGACTATCCAAGTAGCTTAGGCCTAGTCACTAATGACCTTTTCTGGGTCAATAACACAATCTAGATCTAGCCAAATACCATTAGTACTAATTATCTGTTCTTTGATTCTTACTGGCATTTCAAGTCTAGATTGATTCCCAAATCTTTTACTCTTTTTATCATATATCACTTCATGTGTTAGATTTCTATTTTTTTTCTATAGCTTTGGCATATGCTGGATTCTACTCCAGGTGGCACTGGAAATTTTGTTGGAGTTATATTAGGATGTGTCTCATCCTTTTCTTCTTCACTTTTCTCTTCTATTTCCTCCTTTTGGATATTTATTTTCATATTTTCTAATTGTTTAGTAGTTATAGTAATCTGTCTGCACAAATTATCTAGTTCTTCTACATTTTCTTCTTCTAAGAATTTTTGTTCAAATTTTTTCAACTTTTCTTCTTGGGTTTTTAACATGAAAAGTGTTATCCCTTTTGATTTAGGCTTTTCCGTGAAAATTTTTGGGATTATTTTAAATCCTTCATTTCTATCTATAATATTTCGCCTACTACAAACTGATATTATAGTATATTGTAGATCCTTTAGTTGTGTTTGGATCTCATAAAAATTTTTATCCATATCAAATTCTAGTTGTAAAATTATTCTATTATACATTTTTAAGCTTTTATTGCAAATTTTTTAGCGATTGCTTTTAATATCTTGAAAAATTCTTCTATTTTAATTTCTATCTCTCTTATTCGAGATATCAATGTCTTTAAGTCTTTAATAAAACATATTTCTTCTTTTATTTCTTTCAAATTTCTAGAGTTTTTGACATTATTTATTTTTTCTTTAATAGCATCAAATTCTTAAGAAAGGGATTTTCCCATTTCTTTAATTCTTCTTAAGGTATTTTCATTAATTGTTTCTATTTTTAGAATATTATCTATGATAATTGTATCTTCTATATCTATTATACTTTTTCCTATCGTATTAAGTAAATACATGTTAATTTGATTTATTTGTTCATTGTTCATGTTGATAGAAGTGTATTAATAATATTTCTTAATGTATTTATTTTTTTTCTTTTTGTTCTTATTTTGTAATTAAGAGTTTTAACTCTCATTGTACTTTCAATACTCACTTTTAGAGCTTCTCTTTCTAAGTTCACTAGGTTTCTCTCTTCGAATTGAGCTAGTTGCTTAATTTCATCACAAATTCTAACTAATCTATCTCTATAAAGTACTTCTTGATTCATTATATTTTATTGAGATTATAGTGTCACTTTTTTAAAACTTAGAGGACTGTTCTATTTTAATTGTAAGCTAATTCTTCTGTTAGTTTTAACGAAAATCTTGTACGATAGACCATTCTGAAATATTTTCTAAAGTTTATAGACCACTTAAAAATAAAACATACTTTTTAGACTAAAATGAAATCAAGTTGATAGTTAATAGACTAATTTTTGAATTAAACCATTATTTTTTAGACCCCACGCTGCGCCACTAGCTTTTTCTTTTTTTTAAAAAAAAGAAAGTACAGTCCTTAAATAATATCTATTTTGAAATAGAGGGAGTGAAACTTGAAAAGGATAATGAGTGGGGACCTTGAGAAATTTCCCAACAACCTAATCATGCGCGCGTCCACCGCCCAGCGACCAGCAACCAGCATCCCCTGTATTTAAAATGCCAGCTATAGCTCCCCCGTCGTTTTCTTTCCTGTCACCGGCAAAATATGATTGGCTATTATTACTACTACTTCTATTATTATTATTAGTATTATTATTATTATTATTATTATTAATTTTATATAATAAATAATAAATTATATAATAAAAAAATAATTATCTCTTTTAAAATTTCTCCTCTTATCTTAAAATTCAAATTTAACACCGACTATATAAAAACCCAACCTCTAACCATTAAAATGATAACACTTTAATGAGTGTTAGCTATGCCTTTTTTGGTATTATCTTCTTAACACTTCGCTATGTGATTGGTTTAAATAATAAAAAGAAAATACATGCTTAATGGACATCATAAAATAAGAATTGGAGAAACAGTGTCGTTACCCCTTCTTATATAACAATTGACAATGTTTTGACAAATCCACCAAACCAAGTAGAAGGGGGTTCTGTCATAATTAAATGATTATCAAGACGAAACGGTATTATTGATGCTGGAAGCTAGATAAGAGGTCAAACAGATATAGGGTGAGATATGGGTGCTTCATTTGCCTAGTTTGAGTTTTGTGTTCAACATTTCTATAATATAATACACCTAATGTTTTGTTTTCCTTTTTCTATTTTTGTTTGATCTAGGTGGCTGTTAAGCCTAATCATATCTACATTCTAAATTCAAGTCAACAATGGAAATAATTAACGCATCTAATTATTATCTATCATCAGTCTACAATATATCTTCTTCGGTTAGCAAGTTGATAAAATTCCCATTCATGATTCATCAATCTACAATAAAAATATGTTTATTAAATTAAAAATTTTAATCAAACAATGGAAAGAGGCTAAAATTTTTATTTTCATTTAAATGTAATGGTAAACATGTCAATGTTAGAATTTTTTAGTTCAGAGAGATTAAGAGGAATGCACATAGAAGAGGATTTTAGACTGGATGGAAACATTTAGAATTATTTATTAGAATTTTAAAAGGTGCAACGTTAGAATATCTTTTTTTAAAAGAAAATGATCAATACGATCTCTATTCATATTAAGAAAAGATAGAGATATTACAAAAAATTCTCTACCTCTCAAAGAGGCAATTTAACACACTCTTACTCTCACTTATTCCAATTAATAACACCTCTTGAGCACAAACTAAGCAGCCCAAATAATAGAAAAAACTGAAAAAGAATAGCTAAATACTATGCATGTCTAGCTACTCTTTGCCTCTCAAGCATTAGTTACACTATTATGGAACACTTGGCACCAATAATACTTTAATGACAGCAATCATCCAGAATGGAAACATAACAATGTTCCCCCATCAAACACCATAGTGACAAACAAGCCGTCCAACCAATGATGGACCAGGATTTGTTGAGAGTGGGGACTAAATTTTTGCAAAAGAAAATGAAAGAAGGAAGATCTAATAGTATTTAGTAAGGATCAAAACAAAATCTATAAAGGTTTGTTTTTGGTAATTAGTGATTATTTTTCAAGTTATCTTTGTGAAAAAAAATAATAATTAAAAATGAAAAAAGATTTAATATTTTTTAATAGTAAATCACATCAATGACAAAAAGAAAAAAAATTAGATCTAACCACTCAATAGTTTGTTTTGCGTTAGGAGTAAGGTTTTTATTATTGACTTAACAAAAAAAATGACTAAATAGTATATATAGTTGAATATTTTAAAGAGATTTTAACCATCACAAAAAAAAAAAAAAAACAATTTAGGGTTTTCAAAAGCAAATAAGAGGTAAGGAAGACAGGAAAGAGGAGATGTGTTAGAAATTTATTTATTTTTTATTTTTTTTTATAGAAAATTGAGAATTTTTTACTAACAATGAAGTTTAGAGATTATAAAAATATTTTTTTATATGTAACAAATTCACTAATTGACATGCCAATATTGAGTTTAAATTTTATTATTGAAACTAATACAATGAACAATTATGATTTTTTTATCAACTAATAATGATTATTATCTTAAAGGTTGGGAATGTTAGTTGAAACAAAATAAAGATTTTGGTAAAAAAATATCTCATACTAAAAAGATTGATGACTAGTGATAGAATTTATGGTTAAATTTTCAAAGATTTGGGGTTGTACTGAATTTTTTTCAAAAGTTTAGGGGGGCGGTCTACAAATGGCTCCGCTCACGCGTCCGACACAGCTTCCCCTTTCCACCACACCGACCAGCTAGCACCACCCAAACCACCAGCAATCCAGAACCGATGGCCACACCCCTATCCGTTGAAGTTCCACCTTAGTCACCTTGACCCAACGCAGTCACAGCAGCCCTGTCGACCATCATGCCATCACCGGTTTGTCCAGCGCACCACCAACAACAAAACTTCCTACCGGCACCGGCCATGGTATCCAATACTCCACTGACAGGTACAACATTGGCAGCCCACTTAGCAAACAAACATCCCAAGAAATCCCTCATCGAAGAGACAACAGCCACAAAACCTCACACCTCCTTTGCTTCCTCCTATCCCTTTTAAATGCTTACCCTCTTACTCTTCACTGGAGCCAACTGGGCAAGAAGAAGACGGTAGAATTGATAAAACCCCACGCGATGGTACTGGCAGCTGTTCTCCACAGCTCTACGAATCCTAGCCGCCAATGAGTTTTTAGCATTGGAGTATATTAATATAATTTAACCTTTGCTGGTTAAAAAATAAAACAATATTTAAAAGGTTCAAGGCCATTTCGCAAGTGCCTTTAAAGGTTCAGGACCAATGTTAAATTAATCCAAAGTAGAAGTAAAGACTGACAGACTATAAACCTAATTTCAATATAAGGAAACCGATTTTACAATTGCTAAACATTA